ATATTTTTGGCTACCACATCACACTGATGACTCACATTCAGTTTACAATTCTGCTGTCTTTCTTCTTCATATTCATTATGAATGGTAGCTGTGGTACAGTGGATACTTACATAGTCAGATGGCCTTGCACGTAACAAGAGATCAGTATTTGCTGAATTGAATTTCATTAAAGAATCAAGATATAAGACCTTAGGCGAGTCACTTGTCCTTTCTAAGCCTCAGTTTCCTCACCTGAAAAATAAGGGGATTGGACTAAATGATCTTAAAGACCTTTTCGAACTCTAATTTCCCAAAATCCTAGACCTTCCATTGTTACCAGCATAGACTGTAAGCTCTTTAAAAGCGGGCATTAAAAAAAAAAAGGTAGGAGGCAGCTAGGTGATGCAGTAGATAGAGTGCTTTGCCTAGAGTCAGAAAGACCTGAATTCAAATTTGGCTTCAGACACGTACTAGTTGTGTGACCCTGGGCAAGTCACTTAACCCCAATTACCTCACCAAAAACCAAAAAAAAAAACCATTTCCATTGGTGACTTGAATAAAGGCACAAATGGCCTGTTCATCCTATTTGTAGATGACACAAATCTAGAAGGGAGAGTCAACACTTTGAGTGGCAGACGAGTTAAAGGGTAATTTTTTCCCCCTCTGCTGGAATGTGGTTATTCATGTTTGTTTTATTCACTAATCAAATATTTTTTTGGGGTGGGGGATCCAGAGAGATCTCAACTGGTTGAAATGTTGGGCTGAATGGAAGGAGATGCTGTGTAACTGGAATAAAAGTAATCTTACACTTGGGTTCAAACAATGGACTTCAAACATACAAGATCTGGAAGGGAAAGGTGGTTAAGCAGCAGTTTCCCTGGAAAAGATCTAGCAGCCAGTTTTAGAGGTAGCTATGTTAAGAAGTAGGTAAGAGCACTGGACCTGGAGTCAGGAAGACCTAAGTTCAAATTCTGTCTCTGACACTGTGTGGCTCTGGACAGGTTGCTTAGCCTCAATTTCCTCATCTGTAAAATGGGGACAATAATAGTACTCTCCCTCCTCATCTGCATCTCCAGTATCCTTGGCTTCCTTTAAGTCCCAGCTAAAATCTCCCCTTCTACAGGAAGCCTTTTTTGATCCCCCTTAATTCTAGTGCCTTCTCTCTGTTAATTATCTCCAATTTGTCCTGCCTAAATCTTCTTTGGACATGGTTGTGTACATGTTATCTCTCAAATTAGACTGTAAGCTCCTTGAAGGCAGAGACAGCAATTTGCCTTGTTTTGTATTCCCAAGGCTTAGCACAGGCACATAGGAAGAGATGAATGTTTGTTGACTGCCTGAGTGACTGACTACCTCACTGGGTTGTTGTGTAAGAATCAAATGAGCTAACATTATACAATGTATAAATGCTATATAGTAATACTAATAATATTGATAATAATCAAATAAGTAATATATAGATAGAATAAGTAAATATATAGCTAAATTATTTATAAATAAAATATTAATAAAAATCTATTATTTATATGTAACATTAATATACTATATAATGATTGATCAATAATAATCTATCTAATAATCAATAATTCTATATTAATAATTATAATAACAACAAAATAGCTAATATTTATATTGGGCCTACTATTTTCCAGGTGTGATGCTAAGTGCTTTACAAATACTATCTCATTTGATCCTCGAAACAACCCTGGGAGGTAGGTGCTATTATCCCCTTTTTATAGAGGAGAAAACTGAGGCAGGTAGAAGTTAAATGACTTGCCTAGGGTCATACAACTAATATGTGTCTGAGGCTGGATTTGAACTCAGCTCTATCCTGACTCAAGGTCCAGTACTCTATCCACTGAGCTGAAGTACTACTTCTAGCTCCCTGGAGGCTTTAAGAACTGGAAGCTCAATAGAAATCACCAGTGTGATATCATAGCAAGAATCTAATATAATCTTGGGCTGCATTAAGGGAAAAATGATGGCCTGGACTTTAGAGATGAAAAAGACGTAGATAGAACATTTATTAATTAGTTTATTAAGTGTCAGGCACTGGTATAGCTCCTTATCTCTGCACACCCAGAGTGCTGTATTCAGTCTGGACCCTCTGTTTTAGTAAGAACACTGAAGGAGGTGGAAAGGCCCCTGTGGAAGGCAATCAGGATGGTGTAGGGCAAAGAAACTAAGGAGGGTTAGCCAGAGGAAGAGAAGACTTGGGAGTAGGGGAGTGGGGACATGATAGTTATCTTTCAGTATCTGAAGGACTTGCATGTGGAAGAAGTATTAGATTTATTCTATTTGGAGCCAGAGGGCAGAGCTTGCAGCCAGAATTTCGGAGAGGTGGATATAGGCTTGACTCGGGAAAATCCGCCTGATAAACTAGGACTATCCACCTTGGGAAGTAATTGGTTCTCCCTTTGAGAAGTCTCAAGCAAAGACAGACCAGATGATGATTTATCAGGTATATGGGGGACAGAATTTGGACCAGATGCCCTCTGAGGTGCCTTTCAATCTTAGAGCAATAAGCCTGTCAGCTATGAGCTATTCTTGTGTAAGTAACAGCAAGAATAGCATTTCCATAGCATTTTAAGGTTTGTAAAGCACTTTACAAAAATAATCTAATTTGATCCTCACAACAGCTCTGAGAGTTGAGTATTATTATCCCCATTTTATAGATGAGGAAACTGAGGCAGATAGGTTTTTGTTGTTATTTTGTTTTTATTTTTAGTGAGGGTCACACAGTTAAGAAACATCTGAGGCTCGAGTTGAACTCAGGCTTTTCTGACTCCAGGCCCAATACCCCATCCACTGTACCCTGGGGGGGCCCCCAGCGCCAGACTTACTAGATATACTCTATGCTAAATCGCCTAACCTCTGCCTGCCACAAGTTCCTCAACTGTAAAAGGAGGCTAATTATAGAACCTACTTCCCAAGGTTGTTGTGAGGGTCAAATGAGATAGTCTTTATAAAGCACTTAGCAAAGTGCCTAGTATGTAGTAGGCACTTAATAAATGCTTGTTTCTTTTTTTTTCTCTCTGTCCAACTCTGAGATTCTAGGTCTAGACAGAAACTAATTGGCCTAGTCCAGGGGTCTCCAAGCGTTTTGGATCACATCCCTATCAGTAAAAAGGTTTTGACTTACTTCATTTTATAACTCATTTCATAAGTTATATATCATGTCACTATACTCATATGGCATAAAACTTACAGAAAAATAGGAATTTCAAAAGGATGGCATAAAGATGATCTAACAGTTAATCCTAAAATCCATAGGAAACTGCCAGAGGGGAGTGAAATGGTCAAGCAAATGCTTTAGAAAATCATCTTGGGGGCAGCTAGGTGGATAGAGCACAGGCTCTCAAGTCAGGAAGACCTGAGTTCAATTCTGGTCTCAGATACTTACTAGCTGTGTGACCTTAGGCTGTGTGACCCTAGGCAAGTCACTTAACCTTGATTGCCTGCAAAAAAAAAATCATCTTGGTACCTCTGTTGAAGATGGATTTCAGACAAGAGAGATTCAAGTCAAGAAAGATTTATTACATGCCAGGCACTGCACAAAGTGCTGGGGATAAAAAAAAACCAGGGAGACCATTTAACATAAGGATTCTTAACCTTTTTGTGTATGTCATCGACTCCTTTGAGTCTACGGGGAAGCCTATGGACCTTTTCTCAGAATCTTGTTTTTAAATGTCTTAAATATAATACAGATAATTGCCAAGAAAGCCAATTATATTGAAATGCAATCATTGGGGCAGCTAGGTGGTAGAGTGGATGGAGTACTAGCCCTAGAGTCAAAAAGACCTGGGTTCAAATGTGACCTCAGGTAATTACTAGCTGTGTGACCCTGGACAAGTCACTTAACCCTGATTGCCTCCAAAAAAAAAAAAGAAATGCAATTGTCAAAAAAAAAAATTTAAGACTAGTTCAACAACTGCAGGTTAAGAACCCCTGGTTTTAGTGGGGGTGTTACAATAATCCAAGTGACATGGGATAAGGTGGTGGTCTGTGTGAGGAGACAGATGGGATTGATTGAGAGGGTTGTTGGGAACAGAGAAACTGTTGGGGAATGTGGGGTGGGGGAGAATGAGAAGCTAAGGATGACAAGGTTGCAAGCATGGGCAACTTGGTGCCCCAGGACAGTGACAGGGAAATGTGGAGGAGGGGCAAGTTTGCTGGGAAGTGGAATGCCATGAAATCTTCCAGTTGTCCAAACCCACATGCACCTGCTCTTCTCGGAAACACTCTGTCCCACCCCAAAAGAAAAGGAGGGAGGCAGGGCAGCCTTAGTCACCAGTTACTGTTAGGGAAAGCAAAACCTGCCCTTCAAGTGGGTGTCTGCTACAGCTCTGACACGATCTGGGGAAAGGGGTGGGGATTTTCCCAGCGGCCCAGGTGCTGCTGTGGGTTATAACTGTCCTGAGGGGCTTATATAGGACCAAGATGGGGAGGGAGGTTGGGAACAGTGAGTCAGTAAACAACATATATTAAATGCCTACCATGTACCAATTGCTGGGGATACAAACAGTTCCTGCTCTCCTGGAGCTTACAGTCTAACGGAAGAGACAACATACAAACAACTACGAACCATCTATCCATCAGGAGAAAATTGGAACAGCAGAGGGTAGGGTCCTAATGTATGGGGTGGGGAGGGTTGGAGGGACCTATTTTTATCCAGAGTAGGTATGGTTGTGTTGGAGATAGTTGATTATCACTGGGGTGAGATTCAACCCATCTTTCCACCCTCCAACTGATTGATGACATACTGTACCCCAGGAGACCCTGCCCCTAATCCCTTTTTGAGACTACAGTCCTAATGAATAGACTCCTGAACTTGAAGTCAGAAAAATATAGGCTCACATCCCACCTCACATACCTCCTAGCTGTATGACTTTACGCAAGTCACTTAACCTCTCTGTGCCTCAGTTTTCTCATCTGTAAAATGGGGATAATATTAGCCCCTACCTTCCAGGGTTGTGGCGAAGATTAAATAATATTTGTAAAGTGCTTTGCAAACTTTAAAGTATTCTATAAACATTAGATATTTATTATTATTATTGTTGTTGTTACAATTATCTTCTTTTCTCATGGTGTTGGGTCTCTACCAGCCTACGGTGGGGGCCTTGCAGAAAGGGCCCAGAGCAATACCCCACATCTCCTGGTCATAGCTGCTGTCCTCTGGTCCCGGAGGAGGAGAAGGAAGTGGAGCTGGGAAGAGACAACAGAAAGCAGTCTTCCTGGATCAGGCTTTCCCTGTCCCCCTGCCCCTCCCCCTCCCCTCACCGGGTGAGTAGTTGGTTGTCGGAGAACAATCGCCCCTATCTCCCCCTCCCCCTCCCCGAGCCCAGCCTTCTTCTGCCGAGGCTCTGGCCTCAACAGCCCTGGGGCGGCCCAGGTTGAAGGTCAGCTCCCTGCCCTTTTCTCATTCAAATCAGGTCCCTCCCTGGGGAGGCTATTGGCTAGAGCCTGCACCGCACAGCAGGGGAGAGACTGACACGCTGGGGGAGAAATCAGAGACAGGAAAGAGACAGAGATGGGGACCAAGACTGAGACAGATCTGGATTTGAGATGGAGCCCTAGTGACCACTGGAGACAGGGGAAAAAACACAAACACTGAGAGATAGAGAAATCCCAGCCAATCCACACACCCAGACAGACGCTGCCATCAGAGCCATGGAGGAGACTGGAGGATTACTGGGCTTTAGAGAGCTGAGGTTTCCTAGTTCACGGGTGTGAAACTCAAATAGAAGTGGGGGGTGGGTGCCACCCCACTAACTAAACTGTGCTTAAGGATCCCTGCAGACCTCATGTTGATGTAGAAAATTACATTTATATATTAAACTATAAGTATTATATATTTTATAAATATTAACATTAACTATGTTCTATGGCATTTTTATTTCTTTTGTTAAATATTTCCCAATCACATTTATTCTGGTTCTGGCTGCACTCGGGAGTGTGGAGGCTGCCTGTCTGACATCTTTGATCTAATCCAACCCCTCATTTTACAGATGAGGAAACTAAGGCCTAGAGACTCTGAGTAAATGATTTTGCTAATGTCCTGCTGTGGCAGAGCTAAAATACAAATCCAGGTCCCCTGCTTCTAAAAACAGTCTTCTTGCCATTTCCCTAGAAGAGAGGATTGGACAGGATTGAAGTCTCCATCTCACTGCTCCCATTCTGCAGAAACAAAAACTGAGGTCTGGGCATGGGTAAGGAAACTGGCAGGGCTGCTTCCCGGGTTTGACTGGGGCTGTATCTCTCCTTCCCTGGGGCTGAGTTGCCAGCCCATTCCTGGACTACATACCTATTACCACAGCTCTCCCCACTGAATTCCTGAATTCCTTATAAAAGCATACACTGAAGGAGACTTCAGATCCTCACTCAACTTTTTAGAAAAGAGGAGACAGATACCCAAGAGGAGAAAGGATTTTGCCCAGGTCACATCCACGCTTCCAAACTTTGGAGCCAATGTTCTTCTGGTCACATCACACAGCTGCCCTACCCAAGGGCCCCTACTCCCCTGGATGATGGCCTCACCCTCCCAACCTTGATAGGGACCTGCAAGTTCCATGAGGAGGCCTTCCCTTCTCCTGATCTATTCAACCAAGAATTTGACCCAGCAACAGGCCATTTTCCCAGGCAGAAAAAGGGTCCCTGGAGGAGGGTGGAGGCCCACCAGGCCCAGTAGGGACAAGGGATTAGTGACCACAGGTGTCCTTATAATGGGGTGAGGGGGAAGCAAGAAGAGGCCCTTAAGCCCCAGCTCAGTAATCCAAGCTCCAGTCTTTGTTTCCCTGCTGGGGAGAGCCCAGGTGTGCTTCACCTGTGCAGGTGTGGATGGCCAGAAGAAGGGCCTGCTAGGGGAGGCACATTCATGCTGGGATCCCTCTCCCCTCTCAGGCCCACAGTCTCCCTCCCGACTCAGAAATTTGGGAGGGAGCGGATATTCAATCTCATGCACATGATTTAAAAATATTTAAACTTTTTGTTTTTTCAATAAAGGAGCCTATCCTCTCTTCCTACCTCCCCACCCCCTAACTGAAAACAAGAAAACCTGAGCCTTCATAACAGATATGCGTGGTCAATTAAAGCAAATCCTTCCATCAGCCATGTGCAGAAACCTATTTTTCATTCAGCACCGTGGCTCCATCAGCTCTCTGTCAAGAGGTGGTCCTCTGGAATCATTGTTGGGTCATTGCATTGGTCAGACTTCTAAAGTTTTTCTTTATAATGTTGTTATGATGAATATAATAACATGGTATATAACTTAGAAAATAGGGAAAATATAGACATATTGGGGGTGTACACAGTCAGTACTTTTCAGGCAGGACAGAGACCCAGGTCTTCCTGATTCAGGGGCCTCTTCTTTAACCATTACACCACACTACCATTTGCTCTTGAAATTACTTATATCATTTACCTACCTGCCTCCAGCACAGCGTAAGCTTTAAATCAAGAACATTTTGTATTTGCCTTTTTATCCCTATACCTATTATTCCTCGCACATAGTAGGTACTCAGTGAATGCTTATTTAATGAAACTGAAGTTGCTTAAGCTTTCAGGGCCACAGTATCCTTCTCCGAGAGTTAGACTCCATTTAATGTAATTGGCTTCCTTTATAATTCTATGTATTTTATCGTATGCATTCCTAAGCACGACTCTGAGAAGGGGGTCTTGCCCAGGTTTCCTGCCAAAGGGGTCAGGGACACAAACGAGGGGAAGAGCCCCGGATGAGGTGATCATTAACATGCCTTCCAGAGTCAGATCTGTGATGCTCAGACAAAAAGCAGCCACACTGCTTTCAATCCTCCCCACAGCACTGAAACTGCCTTCTCCAAGGTTACCAGGGATCACTTAACAGCTAAACCTGATGCCCTTTTCTCAGTCCTCATCCTTCTTAACCTCTTGGCAGCTTTTGACACAGCTGACCACTCCTCTCTCCCCTCCTCCCAGAGTTTCTGAGACATTGCTTTCTCTGGTTTGGGACTGCTCCTTCTCAGGCTTCTTCGATGGATTATCATTTATCTTCCTCCCATTAAGTTTTTTCCACTCTCCCAGGCTTTGTCCCTTGCCCTCTTTTCTTATTTCTCTAATCTCTCTTGTGATTGCATTAGCTCCAATGGATTCAATAGGTATCTACCTAGATGACCTCCCCACCTCCACCCCACCTCCCCAAAGTTAATAGCCAACTCTAATGATCCTCCATTACCAACTAACTGCTGAATATCTCTAATATAGGCATTGCCTACTCAGCAGATCCAAAATGGAAGTCATTATATCCTCCCTCTCCTCCTCTCCTCAAGAAGACTCCAGCCAACAAGCAAATTTCCCTATTTCTGCTAAGTCCACACCATCCTCCATCTTTCTACTTATGAAGCTTCACAAACTGAGTCATCCCTAACTCTTCTCTCTTCCTCACCATCCACAGTCTTGTAGACTCCTCCCCCACGTTTGTCTACTTCTTTCTCTCCTTTCATAGGGTTACCAACCTCACTCTCTTCTTTATCCCTTCTCACACTGTGTTGAAGTGGATAGAGCAGTGGGCTTGGAGTCAGGAAGACTCATCTTTGTGTGTTCAAATCTGGCCTCAGATACTTACTAGCTATGTGACCCCGGGCAAATCACTTAATCCTATTTGCCTCAGTTTCCTCCTCTGTAAAATAAACTAGAGAAGGAAATGGCAAACCACTCCAGTATCTTTGCCAAACCCCCAAAAGGCATTTCGGAGGGTCAGAAATGACTAAGCAAACACAAATGACCTTGGCAAGTTATTTATCCTTTCTGGGCCTTAGTTTCCTCATTTGCAAAATGGGGGGGGTGTTATCTAGGTAGTCCTTGATTTCTGGAATGCTCCTCCCACTCTTGGAATCCCCAGCAATCCTTTAAGGGATCTGTCAGGTTCCTTAAAGCTCTAAATCTGTATCCTACATCACTCTCCTGCTCAAAAATCCTCAGTGGAAGGGGCAGCTAGGTGGCATAGTGGATAGAGCTCCAGCCTCGGAGTCAGCAGAACCTGAGTTCAAATCCAACCTCAGACACTTGACACTTACTAGCTGTGTGACCCTGGGCAAGTCATTTAACCCCAATTGCCTCACCAAAAAAAAAAAAATCCTCAGTGGTTCCCTACTGACCCTAGGATAAAAAACAAAGTCCTCAGTCTGTTAATTAAAGTCATTTACAAGGACAGCTAGGTGGTGAAGTGGATAGAACACCAGCCCTGAAGTCAGGAGGATCTGAGTTCAAATACAGCCTCAGATGCGCTAGCTGTGTGACCCTGGGGAAGTCACTTAACCCTGATTGCCTCTGGGAGGGAAAAAAAAAAAGTCCTTTACAATATAGCTCTTTGATATACTGAGAAAAACTGGTCTACTTGTAGTTCTCCAAACCCGACATTCTACCTTTATATAGGCTCTGCTTCTCACCTGGAGAGCACACCCTTTTCAATATAGTTTCTTAGAATCCCTGACTTCTTGTAAGGCTCAGGTACCACTCATGGGGAAATATTTCCTCTTTAAATTATCTTATATTTATGTATGTGCTTACATTCGGTGTTCCTCAGTAGAATGTAAACTCCTTGAAGGGAGAGACTATTTCTTCTTTTTTGTGTTCTCATTCCCAGGGCACATTCCCTTGTAAAGAGTTGTAGTGTTTATTGAATTGAATCACTGAAGACTTGTATCTGAGTAGAAATGTTTACTAGCTTCTCTGTCAAGTGGACATCTAACCTCAGCTTAAGGTCTCTGGGGGTTGGAGAGGTCAATACTTTGGTAAGCAGCCCCCTGGAGGGGAGGGAAAGGGAAGAGAAAGAAGGTATGTGTCTGTGGGGTTAGAGGGAGGGCTCTCTGACCTGGAAAAGAATTATTCTTCCTAGTAGTAAAGAGCTTAGGTCCTAGGATAGGTCCTAAGATGGAAGACTAGGTAGGTTAATTGTACCAAGGTCAAGTACAGAGGGTCCAGGAGGGAATTGCCTTCTCTCTACCTTAGAGCCAATAGGGAAGGGGTTCATTTTCCCATAATGGATCTTTCTTTCTGACACAAGCCACACCAGCTGAGCCTTTCTCAGCTTTGGAAATGTAAGTAGAAAAGGGGGGGGGGGATCTCAAATTCCTCTGAACTGCTGTCTCCCCCCAATTCCTGGGCTGCCTGGTCAACTATGTGACCTGACTTCTCTAGGCCTGGGGGTTCTGTTTACAATTGGGTTCTTCATCCTGTCACCTGGTGGAGTGGGATGCAGTCCCTGGCCCTCTGGAGCCTCTCTTACTGGTTCTGGGTGTGCATGTGTAACTGTGTGGAGGGTGATTATAAGGACAGAGTGGTACTGTGAATTGGATTGAGTATTAGAGACTGGTTTCTAATTCCAGCTTTGACACTAACTAGCTGTATGACCTTAGGCAAATCACTTCCTTCCTCTGGGTCTCAGTTTGGCCAGCTGTAAAATTAAATGGTGTCTTAGTAGCTCTGGCCCTCCTAGTACTGATATTATTTTCAAAAGTCCCTTCCAATTCGGATATTCTGTGTTCTAAGGTCTCTCTCAGTCCTGATCCTGAGTCTGTGGGTTCATGGGTCCCTAAGGGGTGGGGCTACAATGTGGGTCACTTCCCTGCCCTGGGCTGGGGGAATGAGAAAGGTCTGGCTGGCAGTTCTCACAGGCCCAGGCCCTAAAACAGCCAGATGGGCCTGGCAGGCGCCTTTGTCCCAGCCTCCTCCCCGCCCCCAGCTCCCGGGCCGCACTGCCCAGCCCACAAGGTCAAATGTTAACTCAAGTCCCCCCCTTCTCCTTCCTGGGGCCCAAAAGTCGTTGGTGCCTAGTAGGGAACTTGAAGTGCGGGCGGGGCCATCGGTCAGACGGGGCCATTGGTCAGGCTGGGAAGAGGCCCAGGATGGGGAGGGACTCCTTGCCCTCTGTTCCCCTCCCCCAAACCAGCAGGAATGTGGTGAGGTGGGGGTTGGGGGGGGTGTTTGAAATCCCCTCCCGATTGAAGAATGACCAGAATCTGGCCCTCAGCCACAGATTCTGGTTAAACAGGCCCCTTCTGAGATCTGGGTTTCTCTCCCCCCACACTACTCCATTTCTTCCCCACGGCCTTTCCTTATCCTAGGTCATGGTAAGGATAGCCTGTATATGAGCCCCTGGTAGGACTAAACCATTGGGCTCTCACCCTCTCAGTGAGCCCCCATCTCCTTATGAACGTTCCCTATCTCAACTCAGCCCTTATCCTATTCCCTGAGGCCTCATCTCCTCCACCGGGTCCCCACTTCTAACTGAGCTCCCATCCTTTCAGTGATCTCCCTTCTCCTCTCTGAGCCCTCATCACCGGTCCTCCCTCCTCTTATTGACCCTCAACTCTCCACAGAGTTCCCACCCCCTCACTGAGCCCTCATTCCTTTCCAAGTCCCAACTCCTTCATTGAACCCCATTTCAACTCACTCTTTTCCCTCTTGTCTTTAGGAGTTCGGTTCCTCTCAGGAAGTAGAGAATCAAGGAACAGAGAACACGGTAATACCAGCAGGAGGGGTTGGGAGGGGGACGTTACTTAACAGCAGAAGACTGAAGGTGGGTGAGTGGGAAGGCCTTTTGTGGAGATGTGAGATCTGGCCTAAGCAAGAAGTGCAGAACAACCCCAGATGGCCCTGTCCCTTCCCCTCAAACTCCTGGTTCCAGCAAGTTCTGTGTTCTTGGAAGGATTTGGGGAGGTGTGTATGTTGGGAGGGAACTCTGCTGAAAGAATGTGGAATATAACTTTGGGGTATATTCTAGAACAGGGATTTTGTGGTGGTGGTGATTCTGATGGAATTCTTAGCAGGCATTTGGGATGGGGGATGATGATTTGACATTCACACAGTTGGCAGGGACCTTAGAGGCCATTCTATTTCAACCCACACCTGAACAGGTGACCCAGAACCAGGCTGAGGATGAAGGAGGGAAGATGTTTACTGCCCCTCCTCCCATCTTCCCCAGGTATTGATGGAGCGTGGGCTGATTGGGCACACACTCAGATCAGAGACATTCCCCATTCTTCAGCTCTGCTCAGGCTGAAACTTAATCCTCCCATCCCTGGGCAGCCTTTGGGAGGAAGAGAGGGAGGGGGTGTGTTGAATGTGTGTTTGGGGGTGGGGGGCAGTGAGGGAGAATAAAAGAGGCACTGACCTTAGGTGCCTTAGGCTACATGGGGTGGGGCACGTTTTATACAGTGGCTGCCTGCCAGAACTCCCAGGACCATCTTACAATGTGCAGAGTGTCCCTTCAGGGGGGGCCCACATGCTTTCACTTAGGTCCTCCTCTTTCCCCCCTGGGGATCACCTGGCTCCAGGTCCCAGCTTTTTCAATTAAACAAATACATTAAAAGCCCGGCCCAAGAAATGGCATTGGACCAGGCCCTGGGACTACTAAGGAAAAACAACAACATCGACAACAAAAAACATTCCTTGCCCTCAGGGAGCTTATATTCTCCTAGAAAGTCACTGCTATGCCACCTCACTGGAGCCCCTAACCTTCTGACTCCAACTCCCCCAGGGTCCTTCTCTCACCCTGTATTTCCCTCAACACTGTAATCTGTACCTAAGAACCCTTTTAACCTGTTGTGATTCTATTTACTCCCCAGGTTCCCTTTTGAACTAGAACTTATTTTTTATAGGTGTCAAGGTTGGCAGAAGACTTTCCTTGCCATAACCCTATAAGTTCAAAGTGCTGTTATCCCCATCTTACAGATGGGGAAACTGAGGCTCAAAAAATGACTTGCCCAAGGGTACACATCTAGCAAATTGCAGCCCTGAGATCAGCACCCAGATCTCCGGACTTCAAGTCTATCAAGCTCCACCACAACCAGCTACCTTGCCTTTCCCTCTCTTTCTGGGTCTGTATTCCTTTTGCCTCTGGAGAGGTGATGATTTCATTTTTCCTTTTTGCATTCACTTTACTTAACAGTGCCTGGCATGCAGCAGCCACTTTAATAAATGCTAGTTGATTGACTGGTGGATCTTGTCCACTCTTGATCCTCTTTCTGCCCCCAGTTTGGTCATGTAGAGCCTGGGGTCCTTTCCTGACAGCCAAAGCCATAGTCCTGACATCTGACTTCACATACCTCCCTCACTCCCCTCCCAACCCAGACTGGTGGGGAGGGATAGTTAAGGAATTGAAAAGAGGGGTCATGTAGTTTGTTTTTGCCCTCCCTCTCACTTTGAAGACTGGAAACTTCTCTCCTGCAGTTCCCTGAACACAAGATATAAGGTCACACTCAAAGGAAGATTCTTCCTTTCCTCTTGCTGAGGAGCCCCTTTTGGAGAGAAAGTCTTTGCTTCCAACTCACCTAAGTCCTTTCTGCTCAGGCTCATTAATTTGTGGACAGTAAGACCTCTCTGGAGAGGTTCAGAAGTGACTTAGATCACAACTGCCCCCTAGCCAAGCCAAGGGGGTTGTGTAGCAGGAGGCTAAGGACGGGCTTCCAGGAGGCCAGTGGTCGGTGTGGTGGGATCACCCAGCTATATGACCCTAGGCAAATCACCTTGCTTTTGTAAACCTATTTCTTCCTGGGGATAATGAAACTCACTCACACTCTCTATCTCCTCATAGCGTTGTGTCCAGGAAAGCACTTTGCAAATCTTTTGGAGCTATAGAAGTAAGCTGTCACCACCACTATTAAGAACTGTCCCCAGTGGGAAGGAATTTCTCAGGTCATTTCCTGACAGTAGGCTGGGAAAAGGGCTGCTTTGCCAATGTGATCTGAAGGGACAGGAGAGTGAGGACTAGGTCATGAAAAGCTGGAAGTGGAGGCAGGTCCATCAAGTTAATCATTTTGCTAAGAACCTCTTCCTGTAAGTGACCAATGAGAGGCATCCTGGGACAGGGCAAAGGGCACAGGATTTGGAGCCAGAGGACTGAGGTTTATATCCCACCTGTCACCTGCTGCCTGTGTGAACCTGGGCAATTTGGATCTCAGTTTCTCCATTTGCAAACTCAGGGTGAGGGATGGGCAAGGGAATTGGGTTGGAGAGCCTTTAAAGTTCCTTTCTGTTCTAATGATTTCTAGGATCCTACTCTCTTTCCTCTCCCTCTGATAAAGGGAAAGGCATTTCCAGGCAGACTTGTGGTAAATGGGGCTTTAAGTGCAAGATCAGTTTATTAACACTGCTGAGGCCCTCCTTTCCTTCTTTCCCCAGCTCCAGTTCTGGTCCATTCGAAGTTTGATTCCCTAGGTAATCTTTAATATCAGTACTCTAGCCCAGGTCAGCTGGGCAGGACTGCCAGACAGACAGAGCCCAGTAGGCTGGCAGACCCAATGGCCAAGCTCACCCATCTGAAATCCAAAAGGAGCTTCAGCACTTATTAACCCAAGAAAACCTTTCATCCAGGCCCCACTCTGACTGGGTTAGTCCCTCCCTCAGCACCTTCTCTTTCCTCTCTGGCTCAGTTCCAGGGCTCTTGGGCCCCTCTTTCAATGGATTCACTTCAACTCTCATTTTATGGATAGTCTTATGAGGTCCTCTCTGGGAGATACCATGGCTTGGGGGTCAAAGCAGAACATCAAAGCTTGGAGGGCCCTTAGGACAGACCTAGGATATGCCTTAGAACATAGAATACTGGGGCCAGGAGGAATATAGAATGTCAGAACTGGGAGGGTCCTTGGAACCCAAAATGTCAGAACTGGGAAGGATATTACAGTATAGAATATCAGAGCTTCAGGGTGGGAAGATACAGGAACACAGAATGTCAGTGCTGGGAGGGTCCTTAGGATGGAGAATGTGGGAAGTGGGAGAGATCTTAGATCAGAGAACATAAGAGCTGGAAGGGATCTTAGAATCAATGATGTGTAGAGCTGGGAGGGGGGCCTTAGAGATACGATCTTTTTTGAGTCATGGATCCCTTTTGGCAATCTGATAAAGCCTATGGACTCTTCTCAGAATAATGTTTTTAAATGTATAAAATACATAAAATTTAAAAAAATCCCCTAATGATATTGAAATATAATTACTAAAATATTTTGAAAAGCCAAGTCTACGGACTCCAGGTTAAAAACACCTGATCTAGTCTGACCACCTCATTTTACTGATGAGGCAACTTGAGACCCAGGAATAGGAAATGAGTTGCCCAAGGTTATAAAGGTAGTTATTAGTATTAGACACAGGACTAGAATCCAAGTCTCTAGATTACAACTTCGAGCAAACGTTCGCATTTCAGGAACCCAACCCCTCCAGTTCCCTTTGGGTAGATACTCTAAGGATGATAACAGAGATGGAGGGGGTGTGGTATTACCTGATAAGAACTGGGTTAAGGTGAAGGAAGGCAGGATAAACCCAAAGTGTACCTTCCAGAGCTCTAGAGAACTGATGTACATAGCTTGGGATCATAGAAAAATATGACAGTCGATGGCCACTGGAATCCCCAGTCCCCCCTCCCTTAGAGTACTTCTCTGTCCCCTTCTTTCCTCTCTCCCTCCACTCCAATTTAGGACATGAAATTGATTCCTGGAAAAATTAGGGACGAATCTCAAATAGTTCAGAAAAAGAAAGCTGCTCAGGGTCAGACTTCCAAGGCGGGCCCAGGGCATCTGTAATTCCCTTTTTCTATTGACCTAGGCCAGCCTTCCCTCCCTGCCAAAAATAAAGAGGTGGGGAGAAAGGGGTAAAGACAGAGCTCAACTTTGGCCCCCTTCCTTGTCCAGGCAGGCACCGAGGAGGCCGGAGCAGGGCGGAGGGGAGGGAACCGGTTTGCTCTTCGGTCTGGCCTCCTACCCTGCAGAACCCTGGGTTCTGCGGGGCCATGGGGGGAAAGGGCCACTCGGGTCACTGCACATGGTAGGGAGGCGGAGGCGGGGGGCGTGCTCTGCAGGCCGTACGTGGGGCTGAGTCCCCTGGCTGTGAGGGGGCCCCGGAGGGGGGAGCGGACGTTTTGCAGCTCTGTGCAGCGCCTGCGTACTCTGGCCAGGTCCTCCCCCCTTCAACTCCCCCACCCCCAGGCGGGGAGGGGGTGGGGTGGGGGAGGTTCTGCGGGACTTGGGGAGAAATGCCGGGTCTATGGGCGCAGCCTCTGGACTTGTGTTTCCCCTGGACTCGGAGCGAGCGGAGGATGGAGGTCGATGCCCTGGACCCCCATTTATGCCACGTCGTCCCCAGTAAATGCAGCAGCATCCCCTATACCCCCATCCTTGGGGTTAAGAAAGCGGCCAAGTGGCGGCTGTAGCTCTGGACAGTGGAGAGGAGGGAGGACCCAGGGATCGGGAGACTGAGGGTGGAGGTGGGGGGCCAAGAGCAGGGGCTGCAGTGAAGTGGCGAAGGAGTTAAGGCTTTGCAGCCGCTCGCGCCCTGGGGGGAGGGTCAGGCCTGAGCAGGCACATTCCTCCTCCCTCCCTCCCTCCCTCCCTCTCTCTCTCCCTCTCTCTCCCTCCCTACCTCCTCCTCCTCCTCCTCCTCTCTTCTTCCTCCTTCTCTTCCCCCCCAACTCGTGCCCGGGCCGGGCGCGCGCTCTCTGACACCCATGTCCTTATAAGGGCGGCCGTCGCCCGGGCAACCGTCCTTCTCTCTCTCTCTCTCTCTCTCTCTCTCTCTCTCTCACTCCCTCCCTCCCTCCCTCCCCTCCCCTTCTCTTCCGAATGGAACGTTGTGTGTCAAACCGGCCGCAGCGCGAGAGCTCGGAGGAGCAGCGGCGGCGGCGGCTACAGCAGCAGCAGCAGCAGCCTTAACAGCCAGGCGGCGGCGGCCGCTGCAGGGACAGAGCCGCGGAGGCTGCAGCCTAGAGCAGACCCTCGGGCCTCAGGGGCTACGGCGGGGGCCGTACTAGCTGACACGGCGCGGGCCAGCCCTGCCGAGAGCGGGGGCCGAGGCCGGACCCAGGCCGCCCAGCGCCACTCTCGGCTGCCCCTCCCTTAGCAGAGCCGGAGCGCGGCGGAGGCGGAGGCAGGAGGAGGAGGAGGAGGCGGCGGAGGAGGAGGAGGAGGGAGGGGCGCCCGCCCGCTCGCCTGCCGGGGCTCGAGAACTTGCCGCGCCTCAAGTTGCAGCCAAACTTTCCTTGTCGCCGAGCTCGGGCAGCCGGAGGAGGCGGAGGCATTGCGGAGGCCCAGCCCCGCTAAGTTTGCCCCCGGCGCGGATAGGAGAGGAGAGGAGAGCGCCCGGGGCCGAGGCTCCCCGAGAGCCGGAGCGGCGGCGGCAGGAGCAGCGGCAGCAGCGGCGGCAGCAGCAGCAGCAGCAGCGGCAGCAGCAGCAGCAGCAGGAGCAGGAGGAGGAGGAGGAGGAGGAGGAGGAAGGAGAGGGGAAGAGGGAGGAGACGGACGGCCCGCCCGGAGGCCAGGCCGCGAAGTTTCCCCGGCGCGGGGAGGAGGAGGAGCTGGGAGGAAGGCGGAGAGGCCTGCGTGGGCCAGAAGGGAGCAGCCCAAGCCTCCGGAGCAGCACGAGTGGGGGCTGAGCCCCGAAGTTTCCCAGGCGCGGAGAGGAGGAGGAGGAGAAGGAAGAGGAGGAGCTGGGAGGAAGGTGCGGGCCGCGGCTCGGCCCTTGGGACTGCGGGCTGGGGAGGTGCCCCTGCTGCTTCTGCCGCTGGCGCGATGTCCCCGGGCCGGCCTGCTCTGGCCGCAGTCGCGGGGCCGCTGGGCCGGGGGACGGGCGGCACGCACTGCTAGCCCCGGCCCCAGCTCCGGCCCCGCCGCTTGGGAACGTGGTGCCGCCGCCGCCGCCGCTCGCCACCTCACCCCCCCCCCCCAGTTCCTCCGGGAGCCCTTGCCGGGTCGGGAACCGGCCAGACCAGTTCTGCCTTCGTCCTGGACCGCGAAAAGTTGTTACCAAACTTTGCTTGTCTCCGGGCCCGCCGCGGGGCCCCCAGCGCCCCGGACAGCCCCGCCCCGCCCCGCTCCGCGCCCGGGGAGCGGTGGCTGTTTCGGGGGCGCAGGCTGATGCTCTTCGGGGGCGCCCCCCAGCGCCGGGCCTGCGCCGCCTGCTAGCTCCCCGCCTCCCTTTCCCCCGCACCCTCGAACCTGGGACCCCCCTATCCCCTCCCTGGAGGGGAGAATGGCTATGGTGACCGGCGGCTGGGGCGGCCCCAACGGGGACACGAACGGAGTGGAGAAGGGCGGTTACCCCCGCACGTCGGAAGAGGACTCGGCCTCGCCCCAGGGCGGCGGCAGCGACCCGGAGCCGGGCGACGAAGACAAGCCCGGGCTCCAGGTGGACTGCGTGGTCTGCGGGGACAAGTCCAGCGGCAAACATTACGGTGTCTTCACCTGCGAGGGCTGTAAGAGTTTCTTCAAGCGGAGCATCCGCCGGAACCTCAGCTACACCTGCAGGTATGGGAGGGTGGGGAGAGAAGAGGAGAGGAGAGGAACGAGGTAAAGCCAAAGGCGCATCAGCAACCCAGGGGCTGAGACGAGGGCCAGTGTGCGTATAGTGCCCGGAGCCCTGAGTTCAAATTCCAGCTCTTGCACCCCATACTCCCTGGGTGATCTTGGCCAAGGCCTATCATTTCCCTATCTGTAAAATGAAAGACTTGGACTAGCTCTTTAGCCCTTGTCATATGAAACCTAGAAAGCTTTTTCTTCCCCCTCCTTTGTGCTAGCCCAGGCCCTTGGTGACCCTGCTGACCCTGAAGCAGCAGCCTATCACCTTGGGAAAACCACTGGACTGGCAGTGGGCAGGCCTGGGTTTGGCCTCAAGTGGCTGGATGTCCTTGGGCAAGTCACTCCTCTCTGAGCCTCAATTTCCTCATCCTTGAAATGGAGATAATCCCTTAGCTGCCTCATAAACTTGCTGTGATTGTAGAGAAGATCCATGGACATGAGCATTTTAGTAAACCATAAAATGCTATCTAAATGTAGGGCATTATTGCCAACTCTACATATGTTTTCCCTTTAACCCCCTTCTTCTCTTTGACCTTTCATCTTTGACCCTCCCCTCTGCCCTCTATTGCAGTCCCCTTTGCCCTCATTTAACCTTCTTCTGCCCTCCGCGGCCCTTGAAACCTGGCATTGAGAGTGGGATGGGGGGGAGCGGGGGAATGGAGTCTGTGAGGCAGTGACCTCTGGCCTGGGCTGGGGAAGCAGGCCTTCCTTTTCCAGGGACAGCGGTCTGGGGAGCCATCTGGGGGAGGCAGTGATTGAAGACTGGCCAGGCAGGGAGGCCATAACCCCTCTTCTCTCCCTCTCCAGGCACTGAGTTAGGGACCTCTGGCCTCTTGTTTGTCATTTCTTTCCCCTTCCTCCCCCAACCCTTTTTCTTTTTTTGTAAAGCAAACTATTTAGAGTGGCCCCACGTGGCATTTAGAGCTTAGGATTCCTTTCAGGGTTAGAACTAAGAACCTTCTGACCATTGTCTTGCCTCGGGCAGGTCTCCAGAGCAGGCCTTTGGGGTCAAACCTCTTTTTCCAAAGTCTGCAGCCTCTTCACGGGGAGCAGGGTGCCAGGAGTTGTTCTGGGGGCCTGGCTAGTTAGGGAGTGGAGTTTGGGTTCTGCCCTTCCCCAGGTTACCCAGCCTGAGTTTTTTCATCCCCCTCCCCCCAGCCCCTCCCACAAAAAAAAAAAAAAACACAACCCAAACTGGGGCAGAAAGTATTGATCCAGAATGACCATCAATTTCTCATCAAAGGTATTAATACTACCAGTAAATAGCTCTTCTATTGTAGG